AAAGGTCATGCAGAAACTGTGTCCCCTGCATTGGCAGGCGGACTCTCAACCACTGCGCCACCAGGGAAGCCCTGCTTTGAACATTCTTGTTCGTGTCCCTTGGGACCCATGGGCTAAGGTTTTTCTTAGAGCGACTCCCAGGAGAAGAATGCTTAGTTTAGGGAAGTGGCTCTCTACTAGGGGTGATTCTTTTGCCTCCCAAGGGACATTTGGTGATGTCTAGAAACATTTTAAATCGTCACAACGTGGGGGGAGGGGTATCGCTGGCATCTAGTGGGTAGAGACCAGAGATGCTGCTAAACGTCCTGCAATGAGCAGGACAGTCCTCACTTCAAAGGACTGTCCAGCCCCAAATTAAAGTGCCAAAGCTGAGAAACCCTGGTTTAGGGCATGCAGATATTCAACTTCCCATGAAAATGCCAAATGTTTTCCTAAACAGCTGCACTAGTTTACACCCCACTAACAGTTCTGAAGTACTAAAACAGGTTTTTCCCAAACATACAAAGCCAGAACTAGCTCCAGTTGTCCTTCAGAAATTTCTTGAGAGCATCCAGTGCTAAAATTCTGTGCTGCCACAGCCGTCACTTTACGAAGCTGTACCCGTGTTTTAACATAGCCTACCCATTTCTTGTCACAGCACAGGATATTATCAGAATTCTTTGTTAAGTGCTTTTTTTGGGGAAAATGCCATCTTATAAAATTTATAATAAAAGTCAGTTTTTATAGTGCCGCTTCACTTTTGACACATAAAAAGTTGGTTTACCAACCCTGGTTCCAAAGGACATTTATTTCCAAAAATCAGACCCATTCTTTACAACAGCAGTTCTCAAATTATGGTTTGGCAACAAGGGCTTACAGAGACCCATTCAGGAGGTCCACAGAGTCAAAACTGTTTTTATGGTGATACTCAGACATCGCTTTCCTTTGTCACTTTTGTTCGTTCACAAGTTCATGGTGGAGTTTTCCAGAGGCTACATCGTGAGGGATGACATCATCATGTGGGCACCTGTTGGCTCCTGTAGTCCTGTGTTTTAAACATTTCTGTTTTATTTCTAATATGGTAAATATTGACAGATGTATTCTACAGAAACAAAAGTTGCTTGAGGTCCTCAGTAATTTTCAAGAGTGTAGAAAGGTCCTGAGACCGAAATGTTTGAGAACTGCTGCTTTAAGAAGTATGTTAACTGCTAGGACTATTCAAAACAGTTTATCAAACTAAATTTCAAGAAGTGGTTCTAGAAATGTTTGTTGCAATGGCAATGATATGAATGGGGATTTATTAGTGATTAAAAACTTTGAGGTTTAAAACAAAGGTCAAGGGCTTCCCTGGTGGCGCAGTGGTTGAGAGTCCGCCAGCCGATGCAGGGGACACGGGTTCCTGCCCCGGTCCGGGAAGATCCCACATGCCGCAGAGCGGCTGGGCCCGTGAGCCATGGCCGCTGAGCCTGCGCGTCCGGAGGCTGTGCTCCGCAACGGGAGAGGCCACAACAGTGAGAGGCCCACAGGAAAAAAAAAAAAAAAGTCAAAAAGTAAAAGTCAAGGGAATATGGGACATTCTACAGGACGACTAACTTAATGTGGGGAAAATGGAGAGGATGGAGTGCTTAAAAGGCTTAACAGCAGTATGTGACGTGTGGACCTTGTCTGGATCCTGATTCAAAAAAACAACTGTAAAAGAATGTTTTTGAAGCAATCCAGAGGAGCTGCACATGGTCTAAGTTTCAAAGGATACCAAGGAATTGTTGGTAATTTTGTTAGGATTAGTAACATTCTCATGGTTATAAAACAAAAGATCTGTTTTTTAGAGGCACATGCTTCAGTATGTAGAGCTCAAACGACATGATGTATGAGGTTTGCTTTAAAAATACTTCAACAAAGAAAATGGAGGGATAAATAAAGCAGGTATGGCAAAATTTTGATAATTTTTAAATTTGGGTGGTTATTAAGCAATCTGTCTTCCTTTATGTTTGAAAATGTTCACACTCAGAAATGTTATGAATGGTTATTTAAATTCAGGTCTCTCCACATATCTTCCAAACAATATGGAAAAACAAGAACAAATAAAACTACAAAAGCCGTACGTTAGACGTAGCTAAGAGACCAAGAACACCCACACTCCGAATTACGTGTGAGTAAAGAACAAACAAATCCTAATGGGCTATCACTTGCACACCCACTGTTAACCTTTGCTGAGGGAAAAATGCATCATACGAAAGAGTACATACGGTATGATTGCATTACATGATGTTTTAGAATGAGCCAAAACTAAGGGGAATAAAAATCAGAACAGCACTTCCCCTGGGAGGGTTAGAGCAGGCGTGGGTTGGGAAGGGCATGAGGAGACATTGTGCGGTGGTGGAAGGGTTCTGCATTTTGACAGAGGTGTGGCCGTGTGGCTTACGTGGTTGTGTGCAGTTGCCAAAATTCCGAGAATGGTACATTCTAAAGACTTATGTACTTTATTGGAGGCAAATTTTACCTCAGAAAACATTTTTTTAACAAACACTAAACTGCTTAATGATGTGCTTGCCTTCGTGTTTAGGGATGAAATACACTAATGTCTGCAACTTTCAAACTCTTCCAAAAACTAAGATGAATGAATGGACAGATAGATGAATATATATGTGATAAAGCAATAGAACAAAATGATAACGGTTACAGAATCTAGCTCATGAGAATACAGGTGTTCACCCGACAGTTCTTTCAACTTTTTAGGTGTTTGAAATTTTTCATAATAAAATATTGAAGGAATAAACACTTCAACTAAAGAAATCCCCACACACACCCCCCACCACCAAGGAAGCAAAAACCACAAAGCAGAAGAAAGCTATTTAACACAGACAGCACTCCAAACTGATTTTAATACCCTCAAGCATTTGGAGAGGTGAAAAGACAAATCCTTAAGTCAGGAATTCAGAAATTAGAAACTGGCAAAAAGATGAAGAAATGAAAAGGATTTACAAGTACTCAGGAAAAAATGATAAAATTACCTCAAATTAAGACTAAATTTCAAGATGCTCAAGGAAAAATAGATTCAAACGACATTTAATAAAGGGCACTGAAGAAAGGCTAAGAAACAACCAAGAGAGTGAAAATCAGATGAAGAAAGAAGTAGAAAGGTTCAGAGAGAAAGTGGTTGAAGTGAGGCACAGACAGAGAAGAGACAATACGTATATAATTGGAGGCCATGAAGAAGGAGAACAAAATAATGGAACAGAACCAATACATAAAACTATAATCTAAGAAGAATTCCTACAAATGAAAGGTCTAAATTTGCACACTGAAAGATCTCACTGGGTACTTGGGAAAATTGACCAGCAACAATCACGTCTAAGATGTATTCTGATAATGCTCTCTGACTTCAGAGATAAAGATAAAGATCCTCAAGGCTTCCAAGCAAAAAATCAAATAACTTACAAGGCAAAAGAATTAGACTGGCATTGGATGTCTCAAAAACAATATATAGAGCAAGGCAACGATGGAGCAGCATTTTCAAAGAAAGTATGAATCAAAGGTGTATATGTCTTTCAAGTATCAGAGAAAAACCATTTTAACGTTTATGCAAGAATTCTCTACCCATTAGCCCATGTTGAGGAGTCTACTGGAGAATGAGATTCATTCAACAAAGAGAAGAGTGGGGAAACTTCAGCCTAAGGACTCATAGTGAGCATGTAGTGTATCTAATTGCTGATCTAAGACTAAAACAAAGGTGATGAGAGTAAAGTAATAATATATAAATGTTATGTATTCTAACAGTAAAAATAATCTAAACAAAAAATGGGGGAAGGGATAGGTAAAGATGAAAGTAGAGTGAGCTCATTGATTTTTATATATGTAATAGGTAAGATTTAAAGGATTCCATTAAAAATTGACGAACAAAATGCTGAAATGGTATCTAAGAAAATGGGAGTCTAAGGGCATTAAAATGTATAAGTACAAAGGTAAGCGTGAGGACAAAAATATAAACCTTCCTAAATACAATTAATCAATCAACCAGTAAACGAGTGAGCAAGCAAAGAAAACGTCACTTAGAGAAAGAAGCATTGGAAATAAGATGCACATAATAACTGTACAATCATGTGACCAAGTTGAGACCACATGTATCAGTCTTATCAGTAAATGTGAGCAAATATAATACATTCATTAAAAGGTTTCATTTTAGCTGATATTAAAGTTCATTTGGAAAAGAGGCATGCAGAAAGGATAGGAAACCAAAAAAGAAAAGCTACCAGGGGATCTTGCCCTGTCGGACATTGAAACATACTCTAAAGCCTCTATAATTAAAACTGTGTGGGAAAAAAAACCCAAAACTGTGTGGTGCTGGCTCGTGGGTGGACAAATAGGCTAGTAGAATAAAATAGACTAGAAGTAGACTCAATTACATTTAAAAGTTTACGTGTGACAAAGGTAGGATCTAAAATCAACAGGGCCTCTACCATAAAAAGGAAAAAATTTAGGTGGCAAAAAAACATCACAAAGAAGGCAGCCGACACGCTGGGAGAAAGTGTTTGCAACGTGTATCACAGATACAGGGCTAGTATACCTAAGATCATTTTTTAACTCTTAAAAAGGGTAAAAAGACCAAAAATAGAACAGAAAATGAGGAAAAGAGGCAGACAGTTAACCCTCTGAAAAGATACAAAAGTGGTACTTAAACATACGAAAAGATGTTCAACCATACCCATAATTAGAGAAATGCAAATTAAAACTGCACCGAGGTGCCATTTCTCACCTACCAGATTTGCAAAAATTAAAAAGTATAACAACACATTCTGTTGGTGAGCCTGTAAGGAAACAGCCACCATCATACATTGCTAGTGGGAATGCAAATTGGTGTGACCATTTTGGAGGGACTTGGGCAGCGTCTGGCAAAGCTCTGTATGCATTTACCTTCTGACCCAGCAGTACTACTTCTAGGAATTTACCCTGAAGACACACCTCCAACAGTATGAAAATACATACGCACAAGATTATTAATTACAGCTTGTTTGTAATTGCAGAACACTGGAAATAACCTCAGTGCCTGTGCACAGGAGAGTGATTGAATAAATTATGATACAGCCACACAGTGGAGCCACACCACTGCTTTTTTTCATCTTTAAAAAAGAATGAGAAAGACCTCTATGACTCACTTGAAGTGATTTCTAGGATACATTGTTAAGAGAAAAAAACCAAAGTGTAAGAGTATCCTTAATATGCTTCCTCTTTTGTAAGAAAGGAGATAAAGAATATCTGTTATCTTCTCATTTGTAGAGGAAACACACAGAAAAGATGAAACCTGAAACAAAGAAATTGGTTAGAGGGAGGTAGGTGGTAATAGGGTAGGGTGGATGTGTATAGGGAGGGGGATGTGTCTCTGAGAATATCTTTTTGTTTAGTTTTGATTTTTAGAACCATGGTAATGTTTCATGTATGCAAAAAATAAGTACAGTCGACTAGAGTGGATTTTTTTTTAAAAAGGAATGCAAACAGAAATAAATAAACCTAACTGTATTTCAAATGAATCATGTAACCACACTTTGGGGAAGGGATGGAGAGCTAACCCTAGTAACCTTTGAACACAGCATCGTGACTCTAGATCCTTGGGCTAAGGGTTGCTATACCTGTGAATAAATGTTTAACCTCTTGGTAGTTTGCCAGTTTTTCATAGAAGGTATGGGTTAACAGTTCCGAAACCACTTTATATGTATTCTAGGATTGAGGAAATAAGGAAATAAATTGCAGATAACGGGAACCAGATTTCTCCCTTTTGAAGAGGGACATTACCAAAAAGAAGGAAAAGGCTAGAATAAACCCTTGGTGTTGGAGTGAAACTGGCAGTGTCAGTGTGAGCTAATTGTTTTTGATACGTATATGCAGATAGATATAGAAATAGATACAAGTGCGTGTACACATACCCATGTGCACACGTGTCCCAACTCCATCTGCTGGGATGGTCTACAAGCAGGGAGACTCCAGGAACAATGGGTGCGTCTCTTGTCCCCATCTTTGTTTTTAAACATCATTCTCGCTAACAAGAACTAGGCTCCTTGGAGAAACGGCTGGTTCCAGAACACGGGCAGAGGAAGTATAAGGTGAACCTGGAACATCTTCTCAGGCCAAAGCAAGGGAAGGGCTCACCGAATGATGGGGGTGTGTGCAATGGACACAGAAGCCAGTTTGGCTCCTGTCAGCCAAGCCTGGGACCATTGAGCACCAAGATAAATGTGATAGTAATGGATTACAGCCCACAGAAACCATCGTAATCCACGTGTCCATACTGATTGAAATAAATAAAAGAAGAAAGAAAGAAATGGGAGGTATCAGTATAACGTAAAAATAGCTATGGGAAAACCATTCCTTACAGTAGAATGTGAACTAACAGATGCAGAAAGAATTAGAAAATTTGGCAGCCACCATAGTAATAATTGTTTTACATAAGAATCAAGAATCACCAATGAATGCTAAAATTAACGGGTGAAGGGTTGATGATAGACAGTATGAGTGTGGGTGTGCACACGTGTGTGTGTGTGGAAAGAGGGCAGATGGAAGGACCCAGGCCCAAGCTCATGCAGTGTAATGCTAACATATAGGGCCTGTAAGTCTGAAATCGTTCAAAATTATTTCAAAATAAGAAGTTAACATTTTTAAGCGAGCATATTTAGATTTTTACATTATATGAAATTATGTCTGGTCCAGAATGTGACCGTTGTCCCCACCTCTTCCACTGCCACCACCCCTGTCCACGCCTCCATTACCTCTCACCTGGGTCAGTACAGCAGTCTCCTGACTGGTCTCCCCCCATCCCCTGTCTGCTCTGCACACAGAGCCAGAGAGTCTTTTAAAGGAAAACTCAAGAAGCGTGTCTTCCCTGCTCAGAACCTGCGAAGGCTCCCCATTTCACTGTCCTTCTCGTCTGCCGTGACTCCACCTTCAGTCTCCCATCCCTGCTGACGCCCCTCCTGCTTTGGGGCCTTTGCCCTTAGACGTCTGCAGGCCTCATTCCTCATATCCTTCGAGGTTTGCTCTTATATCCCTTCTCCGTAAGACCTCTCCTGACCAGTATGTGTAACTACCCCCTGCCCCGGATCTGCCTGAATGTCCTTTATTTTTTTTAAATAGTACTTTTCACTTTCTAAGACAGTACGTGATTTTCTTGTCTGTTACGTGAGTCTCACAGCTTGTGGGATCTCAGTTCCATGACCAGGAACTGAACCCAGGCCCTCGGCAGTGAAAGCGCAGAGCCCTAACCACTGGACCGCCAGGGAATTCTCTATGCTTATTGTCTCTTATCTGTTTCCTCCAGAAAGACTGTAAGCACCACAAGAGTGAGATCTTGTCTGTTTGTTCATTGATGTGTCCCAAACCCCTAGACCAGTGCCTGGCAACATAGTAGGTGCTCAGTAATTATGTGTTGAATAATATTCATTCGTATTGATGTGTATATATAAAGAAACTGAATTAAAAGATTTTTTAAAATACTGAGATGAGCTATTAGGGGATGTGAGCCTGGAGTAGAGACTGTGCAGTCCTGGCTTTGAGGGAAATGGACACGCACCTGTTTGTACCTTCATCTGTAAACAGGGGCTGTCTTTACCCTCCTGGTAGAGTAGTGGTTACCTCACGGGGGAGGGGGAGAGGAGTTAGTTCTTTAACTTTCTACTTGAAACACTTAAATACTATTTGATTTCTTTTATTGTAACCATGCATTATGCTTAGGATTAAATTTTATAAAACAAAAACTGTCCTCTTAAGTGTAAAATTCACTGGGAACAGAAATACGGGCCTGATCTTACCGATTTCTCAGTGTCTTTGTTTAGCCAGTGCTCTCTCTGTACCAGACACCAAGCTCAGGTCTTTACGCACCCCGCCTCACTAGTTCTGCCCGGGACCCCAGGAGGTAGGTGACTTTATCCCGTTTCCAGGTTAATAAGCTGGGACTTGCAGAGGATCAGGGTCACAGCGGAAAGATAACCCCAACAGTAAGTGACAGTTCAGGCCCCAGTCTGTGTGACTTGAGAGCTCAAGCTTTCACCCATTAAAATAAAAAATTACTTGAAGCTGCCCAGATGTCATTTCATTCATTCCCAGCCCTGAAGCATGTTGTTCCTGCTTCCTCAGGGTGTTCCTTGCCCTTGGAGTATCCAGCCCCTGTGGCGCCAGAGATGAACTCGGGACCTAGCAAACCGAGAAGGGGAGACTACACTAGGGACGCAGAGAGGGGGTCACGGGCTCAGTAATTTTTCAGGGCCCACTGGATTCTGAGGTTTCTTAGGCAAAATATTTGCAGCGCTTCCATCTGAACGTGTACACCGAAGTCATGCTTGGCTTTATCTTCTGAAGGCTTGTGATTTTAAGTGTGTGTAGATACGGTGTTCCATTCAGACATACAGATGGCATTTTTTGTGGGGTTCCCTCTCCTGTTCTGACTTAATTTTCTGAAACTAGCTCTTGTCGTAATCCCAGGGATCTTAAGCTGGCCCGTGAACTCCTAGAAGGTACTGGATGGGCTTCAGGAAATCTCTGAACCCCTGTGTGTAGATACACTTACGTGCCTTTTTCTGAGGGGAGGGTATGTGGCTCCCATTAGAAGGGGTGGTTAATTCCCAGAGAAGGTTAAGGACACTGGTCTTAAACCCTGATGGAGCTCTAAGTCCTTTCTCAGGGAGGCTCTCTGGTTACTTGCTGATTCAACCTCTAATCTTCATATTCTTGTTTTATATTCAGTATATTTTAACAGGTGTACTTCATTTCCACCTGTATTTCTGGTGGCTTCCAGGTTAAAACACAGTGCTAGAGACACTGCTCTTAAAGAGAATGGCCATGCGAAGGAGGGTCCTGGAGTGGGGCAGCTTACCCCAAATGCTTGTCATTAAAGGTGTTTTTCAGTGTAATGACAACTAAAGCATAAATAATTTTTTTTTTAGTTACATCGTTTTTATATTCTGACAAAAGCATTTTTTTTCCTTAGAACTAATTTCAAGGAGTAGTTTATACTTTTCTCCCTCCCCTCCCCCTTCCCTCCCCTCCCCTCCCCCCCCCTCCCCCCCCCCCCCCTCCCCTCTTCATTTCTCCTCCCTCCCTCCTTCCCTTCCTTCCCCCCTTTCCTTTTTTACAAATACCATTTACTAGGTATATGTTGTTTCTTTAGTTTATTTACCTATTGGTTCAAGACAGTTGCTCCCAGAGGCAGTGGGACACTTGTTACATGAATGTGTGTTTAGGGCTAAGTGGTAATTGATAGTGTCCCTCAGATTCCCTAAAAATTTTGAGTCTAACTTAAGGATAACCTAGTTAGGCATCCCAGAACCGCCCCCCCCCCCCCCGATGCTAATATGCCAATAATTCCTGGGGTCTGTCATTTCTAATGGTGCCTTGGAAGCCCATGATTCAGACCTCTAGTTTCCCTCAACACGTCTCAATTGCGTTTATCCCCCCAAACTTGGGAAGCACATTCCACCAACTCTACCAGGTATATTTCATTAGGCTAGCATTTATAATAGTGAATTTAAATGTTGGAGAAAGCTGTTCGAACTCCAGAGGAGTTTCATTGGATTTTAGCTTTAAATATTATTAATTGATTTATGAAATTAATGCTGGTGGAAACCTGTGGCACTTGCCTTTTTGAGGCGGGGTAAAACTGTTTTCAGAATTCAGAAAAAGGGGTTGAGTAAATGCACAGTTACCTTAAACAGCAGGAGTAAAACCACAACTACCTTTTTTGTGCGTGTGGCTTAATTCAGTTTTATTCAATGGCGAAAGTGTTGGGTCTGCTTCCAGGGTACCTGAGTTCCAGGCTTCTTGTCTTATACCTGCTCCCAATTTGGTAGCTCTCTGCTCCATCACTTATCTTCATTTTTGTAGCAGATACAAGAATTGTATTGATCAAACACTGTGTGAAAGATGACCCCGAATTGAAAGCCTCGCAGTGAGCCACCCCCGTACACACAAAACGCCGCCTGCACGCTCTTCCCGACGCGCTGCCCATCCCGCCTCCCGCCTCCCAGTCGGGCCCCGCCCACCTCCCCGCTCTCACCTCTGTTGCCGGAATTCTTGCTGCAGCCACCTAGCTGATCCCCTGGTCTCCTTGTTTCTGGACGCTCTGCCTCCACTCCATCTTCCATACTTAGTGCTCATTCCAAAGGACAGGTCTCCCCAAGCCAGTCTCCTACTCCTTTGCTTGCAGGGTAAAGCCCTCCTCCTTAGGGAGGTGTATGTGGGCGGTCTTCAGAACCCGGCCTCGGTTTTCCTTTCCAACCTCTTCCCCTCTTACTACCTCCCACCACCACCTGGGTACCCTCTCGTGTTTCTCAGTGGAGGCACTCCTGGCATTTTGAATGGGACAGTCTCTCCTTGTATGGAGCTGGTGGTGTCTTGCAGAAGGATTAGCATCCCTGACCCCAGAATGCTAAATGCCAGTGGCTCTCCACACTCAATACCTCCTCGTTTCCAGGGGCTCCTTAGAAACCACAAGATTCCCCAAACACTCCATGCCCGTTTGCTTCTGTGCTTTGTGCCTGCTTTGCCCTCTGTGGTGTCCTTGTCCAGCTCCTGCCCCTTCTGGCAAAACTGCTGCGCCTTCTTTGAGATTGGGGTCTAATGTTACCTTTCAAGAAGCCCACCCTTACTTCTTCAGGCCGAGATAGTTCCATCCTTTGTGCTCCTGAAGTCCTGTTTATGCCTGTGTTAAAAAGAGTGCAGCAGTGTCCTGGACTGATCTTAAGTGGATCACTTTGCTTTAAGATGCATTTAACAGTACCTATAATCATGTACCACTGTGCACAAAACCTTTATGAAGAGCCTAAGGGGAAGTGCGCCACCCGGCCAGGTACCTGTGAGGATCTATGGTGATCCACCCCCGTGCGTAGCACTGCATAGCCCTTGGTACTAGACACGGGGGACTTTACAAAGGAGAAGCGTTCTCTTGGTGCTTCATAATTTCCATAGGGCAAAGAGACAATGTAAATTGTTGTTGTTGGGCTTCCCTGGTGGCACAGTGGTTAAGAATCCACCTGCCAATGCAGGGGACACGGGTTCGAGCCCTGGTCTGGGAAGATCCCACATGCCGTGGAGCAACTAAGCCCGTGTGCCACAACTACTGAGCCTGTGCTCTAGAGCCTGCGAGCCACAACT